TTAACCCACACATAGAGCATTTGCTTATCGCAGTAACCCAAAAAAAACAACAACAAAAATACGCAGCAAAAATGAATGCGAAATTTTTGTCTTCTTTTGCATCAGCCAAAAGGTAATGGTAATGGAAAGATGACGACTAGAGGATACCAAGTGCGTAGATTATTTCATAATAATACGTAACACTACTCCGTACAGCAAAATGGTTAGAGAAATAAAATATTTATTATTATTTCGCATTTGAGCTTCTAGAGGCACTCCACTTCTTCCTATTGATCCTCTGATATATCAACAGTGGATGGTGTCTAAGAAGCTTCCTTCTGTGTGCTAAGAAAACCTCTAATCTCACACACTATACCCTTTTACTGTTCAAGTACAGGGTACACATAGCAAAGCAAATTCGCCATGGCCATTGGAGGAGGCATTAGACGACTTCAAGTGGCAGCCAAGCGGCAACGAGTGACCCAAATACTTCAGCGACTGGCTTCAGCTTCAGCTTCGACTGCAACTTCAACTTCAGCTTCAATGTTGGCCTGGCTCTTAGCTCTTGGCTCTTGGCTTGGCTCTGGCTCTTCGGTTTGGTTCGGGCCTGGGCTTGGGCTAACGGTAAATGGCAGAAAAAAAACTGCGTCTGCTGCCAATGCTGTTAACCGCATTTCGCATGCACTCGCACACTCGTATCTAATAGATACATTTCGCATGCCGTGACTGCCACGCCCCTCCACTCCGCCCCACATTTCGCATGCAGGCACGCACATGACATTCTTTTCGCTTCGGCAACAACAATTTCAGAGCCGCAAACAATTTTCCCCCTTTTAATTTTTTTGGCTCTTTTTTCGCTGTGCATATTTTTTTCATCAACAGCAGTGACACTTTTATGGTGTTTTGTTTTTCGCTTTTTTTTTTGTTTTGGAGCGCCTGCTGCCAGTGGCAGTGCAACTATTTTTTAATTATTCCATTAGCAGGGCTCAAATGATGTTAATTATGAAGAGTTGGCGGAGGTGAAGGAGGTGAAGGAAGGAAGTCTGTCTCAGACATCTTGACACCAATACACAATACTCGGTATGCATATGAGAGGTAGGTAGAGCCGACTTTAGCAGGTCTTTGAACTTGAATTTAATTAAGAAACTAAAGTCGGCCAACAACCTTATGAAAGCCGAAAAGTAAAAGTTGATCCGCGAGTGAGTCATCCATCCAGCGATGAAGAATCTTCATTCATTCGATAAACAAAAGGTTTATTTTAGTAGGTGAAAGATTAACGCGACTCTCTAGGCGGAAATAAACACACACACAATTCATATAAAAGATCGTGATTAAGGAAAATATATTGTTGTTTCAGAAGTTGTGAGAAGCTACAATTTATTTATAATTTTATGTCTGTAAGCAAAAGGTTTTTCCATATTTTTGTTTTGTATATGCTGAAAAATACAACATTTCCATAGCCGTTTGAGATTAAAGTTTCAGGTTTGGAATCGAGATTCCTTAGGGAGTCGATGAGTCAGTCAATCCCTGAGGATCCCACAAGCAGCTAAAACTCTTAAGAACAAAAGACACTGGAGACGGGGTAAGGTGTTCCTCTATTTTAAGAAACCGGACATATCAGCCTCAACTTTCGATTCCCTTCATTTAAAACCCTACTTCAAACCGGACATACCAGACTCAACTGAAGTTTTGGCTCTTTGCTAACGGAATTCCAACTTCGATTTGTGTGAATCATCTGGTGTTTGACTTATGGGGGATTTTTGTAGACCCGCTAAGTTGTTTTGACCACCTACTGACGCAGTTTCAGCTGGAATTTCGCAGAACAGCCTTTATCATGTATTGTCGTCACATGTTTGCCGATAAGGTAGCAGTGATCTACTCTCCCCTTGAGCGGCCCCTCAAATATATTTTTATGAATGAAGAAAATAACCTCAAGCGATGGTAGAATAAACAACGAAACGAACGTAAATTGAGGATGTGAGTCATGCAGCAGCACCCAGGGGCAGGCAGCGGCATTGAAGTGAATTATATATATAGCGCATCTCCGCCTGGGAAGTGGTCTCTGTCTCTGTCTCCATCTCAGTTTTAATTTGTATATCAAAGATATACAGCAGCAGCAGACGCAGAGGCAGATGCAGATACGGATACAGTTATGCAAACAGCAACAAACTAGCAAATAAATAAGCAAACAAACACCAGAGTCGTGACAAAAACAATAGTTGTTTTCTCAATTTGCATTTGGTATTAGATACCATTTGCTCTACACGTATCCCCAGTATCTTGGTATATTTCCATCTGCCCATTTGGCTTGGCATTTTACTTGTATTGATAAGAAATTTAGTTGCCCAAGCAAATGCCAATGGCCAGGGGAGAGAACTTATCGGCTTTGGCCAGCCATAGGCCATAGCTGAAATTCCCTTGCCAATATTCTACACAAAATTAATTATAATCAAACCTGTGAGCTTATTGAATGTGCTGTATTATTAATTATTTATTGGTGTTTATTATCAAAGGTTTATCAAAGGCCTACAGCTTTCAGAGGGTAATGGAGTTTGCTTGACCCACCTTTTGCATGCTCATTTCGTAAATTTAATGAAGAATTAATTAATGTTTAATTAAGGTTTAATACTTTGTTGAGTAAAACAAGGTCCTGCAAGCATTTCAGCAATAGTTGAATGCAAATTTTTGGTACTTGAAACATATCGGGAGAGGCTTAAATTGTAGATTTTACGTTTACATATAGAATGTGGAAATTGGTCAGTAGTTAATTGTATCAGAAATATTAAACTCCAATATCTTTGTAGTTGTTTTAGCTGGTGCATTTAATATTCATATATTTAAAGTCTTGCCCTTGACAAAGGTGCACCCTGATCATATTGAGAGTCCCTCTTCCCTGGCTTCCACTTGATTCGCACCCTTTGTGCAACCGCAAATGCAAGTCAAGTTGAAATGAAGAAATTTCCATAACTAGCGTTAATTGCTGCTTAGTTGTGCAAATAGAACACGAATCGAAAGAGAAAGTGGCAGAGGGAGAGGGAGAGGGAGAAGGAGAACTGTGAATATTTAAGAGGGGAACGGGGCTGGGAGAGTAGAGTGGTTTTGCCCACCCCCTTTGAGAACAGTTGCAGCGGCATCAAAGAGAAATGCAAAAAAATGCCAGGCAAAAAAAAATAATACGAGAAAAGTGAACAGCTTGCGGTAAAGAGGGGCAGAGTGACTGTGTGCGGGGGAAAACCTCAAGTGACCGCCATCTCAGTCTCCCATTTCCATCCCAACTCCCTGGGCTAACCGACTCCCAACTCTCGTCCATTTACCCGCCCCCCTTCAGAGCTCTTTTGTGCTAGGGGCAACCACCTCTATTTACTGTGGAAAAGTGAATGGCAACCTGGGCCGACCAGTGGATAATTTGTGGCAAGTGCTGCACAGCCACTCCCTCTACGCTCCATCCCTCACTCCACGTACTTCATTCCATTCCACTGTCCCAAAAAATAAGCAAGCCAAACACACACCCAATGAAATGTCAAAGAGGTTGCAGGCACTCACACTGCCCAGCAAACATTCGCACAAAATTGAATCAAAATTTAGTAAACCAAAAAAGCAAACATTTATCAATTGAAATTTGCTCTGACAAATCGGAAAAGCAAAAGGGGGAAGTACGAGTAGATATCGCATAACGATTCGCTGAATTTCAGTCGAGTTTTAGACAGACGTTAGACATGTCTGGCCTCCTCTTCGGGAGGTGGAAAACTTGTTCGAACAAAGGATTGAACTGAAAATTATAAGAATGAAAAGTAGGCAGGAAAATGTTTTGAGGCCTCTAGGAGCCATCGCAATTTCTGGTGATTTTCCAAATTTTAAAAACTTTTAAAGAGTTGAGATAAAAACATGAAGAAGCAATCAATGTCTGTGCTTTCAATAAACTCTTGAGATTTTCATTTAGCATCACTTGAAATGCTTTCCAGATTTTTCTGGAACTTTTTGCTTAACGCAAAAGGGGATGGAGTATCTGCAGCAATTCAGAAATGCCCTCCCATTCAATACCAAAGTAGAGCATTAAAGTTGTCGCTTCGATCGACTTCCACAACCCAATCCATCGAAGTATACAACTTCCAAGACTTTGAGTCGTTGTCTCTTGCTTTTTGGGTGCAGCGTGCGCTTTCTGTTAATTGAATTGAATTGAATTGAGCGTGGCCAGACCAGAGTTCCATTCCACTCCAGCTCTGGCTTTGGCTCTGGCTCCAGCTACAGCTTCAGAGCACCAGAGCTCCACTCCGACAGCCAGACAGAGTCTGCGAAACCCCCAAAAGACCGTCGGCAATGTAAGACATTTTGGATGTGACTTTGGGGCGTCGAAGCAAAATGGTTAGGGCGTGGACATGCCAAAGTTGTTGACGTTGTCTTGGATTTTGGCTCTTTGGGATCTTTCTCTAGCAGTCAACAAGTGCCAAACACTTGAAAGAGTTTTGTCAGTTTGCAGTTTGTTGAATTTCTATGCAAATTTCCATCCAGCAATCCCCAATCCACCCACTCTGCACTCATTTTGTTATATCAAATTATTTCACTCAAGTGACATCATCATCAGCAGCATCTTCATCGTGGTAAAGTGGACGTAAGGAGCAGAGCTCTGAGCACAGCTTCACCCTGACCTCGTAAAACTTTTGCCGCATTTTCGCACGTGGCCATAAAAAGTGCAAAACGGGGTCTGGTCTGCGGATTTGCGGAGGAGGTGTGGCAACTGCAGGATATGGTATTCCTTGCCAAGACCAAATACACAAAAAAAGATGGACTTCCTGCCTTTGGCATGAGGGGGCAAATTCTCCAAAGATTGCATAACTGCAGAAGGAGGAAAAACGAGGCGAAATAAAACTGAAACTTTTATGTCTGACCTTGTTGCACGGTCAGTTGCTTACACAAACACACAAAGAGTACACACACACACTTACAAATATCCACAATGTTGGGGGTGTTCTCTTAGGAGCTTAATTGAAATTGAAATGGAACTTGTTGTCACTTGCACTTACACTTTACGCCGAAACGGTTCGTATATGTAATCATCTTTGATTGTTGCTTACCTGCAAAGAGAAAAGATTTTATAGAAGAATTAGCAATGAATGGCAATAGATTTTCAGGCTTACAGTAAAATTTGCATGGCTAAAACTTTAATCATAATTTGCATTGCATCCTTTTCATGTCTAAACGATAGCTTTAGCATAATTTTCATGGCTCAAACACAACTTAGAGCATCATTTCCATAGCATGAATACAACTTTAAGCTTTCAATGCATCATTGACTGCACTTCGATGATTGCAAACAAATAATTAATTCATAAACCTCATTTGGGGATACACGGCTAAATGGACGTACAATATACCTACGAATATATTCATTTGCATTTCAGACTCTCGCTCTTTTTGCAAAATGCAAACAATTCCAACAGGAACCACCACCAGCTCCAACAAATATAATTGAAACAAATGCCAAAAACAACAGTGAGCGAACATGTTGATTGCCATCTGTCGAGTGCCGTATTCTCTTCGAGCGGAATGAATTGATTACATATTTACTCATTTCGCTATGGAAATTCGCATGACATTCGTATATTCATTTGATTCAAGAGAACACAAATTAATTGTACATTATTTTTCTGGAGAAAACAAGAAATGAGGGAGCTGGTAAAGAGTTATTGGAAAGGAGACAAATCGTGGGAAATATATCTGAATAATTTCAAATTGTTATTTTGTTTTAGATATTCGGGAGAAAGAAACGTTTTATTGGAGAGAAAATAACGAACATTTTTTTCCCAGCAAAGCAAGAATAAAAAGAATCTGAAGAGTTGAAGGCTCTACGAATTCCAAAGCATCTGTCGCAATACACTTTTCATTAATCAAACCAACCATGGAATATTCTCTACATTTCTCATTTGGATCTTATGAAAAATTTACATTCAATTCCGTTACAAAGCTCACAATTTAATTAAGCCACAAATGAATTCAATACGAAATTCTTAAATAATTAAAGCAAACATAACGCCGCTCGGTGCTTGGTCAGCAAGGGATAATGCATACACACATATCCTAAATTTCCTGAATATTTCGTGGTTGTATGAATACATTTTTGAACACCACAAATCAACACAGTGGCGTGTCACGCAAAAGGGGCTACACTCAATGAAAATTTCATTTGCAATATCTGATTTTAGCAGACTTTGATATTTGATTCTAAAAGCAGCATCCCGCTCTAAATGTTTTTTTTTACCATGTTGCTGTTTAAATTCATATTTTCATATTCATTGTATTACATTAAAATTATTTTTAAACCACCAGTCTGGCCTTTTGGCTTTTGCGGCCAATGGGGGATGGACAGGCAAATTAAATGCATAATTTAGTTTTCCAGCAATTATGCATGTGTTGCATGCTCCGCATGAGCGGCAAATAATACAAAAATTCCAGGAAATAATTCGGGGAATGAGATCGGGGCAGGGACCGAGGGATTTTTAAAAGCTCAAAAATCTATGAACCAGATTGAGAAACAGCGAAACGTTTTTGTTTTTACCAAATCAGCCGCAAGGCAAAAACGCTCGAACGACAAAATTTAATATGAAAACAAATTTATAAATATTTTTTTGCTGTTCTTTCCAGACAACATATGGATTTGATGTGATGTCGTTGGATGTATGTACATGAATTTGTGTATCTACAAATATACATATATTATTATGACGAGCCTCGACACATTTTGTGGCTTCTTTTTTTTTTGGGCTCTTGTTTTACGAGTCAGCTGGGCGTGGCACAGTTTTTGTGTCTCCATTTATTGTGGGCTTCGCGGTAAGTGCCAGAGTCATTTGATGCTTTATGACTCCACACATTACTACCATATATATTCGAGTGTATATTACAATAAGTCCTATGATACGCCCAATAAATCCTTTGCCACATGAAATGTTGTTTTATCTGTATTTATTATTTTTTATTTGTTTATAGATCCCAGCACTTAGCGTATTTTTTTGCACATTTTGTAAGGGGGAACTACACAAAAATTATGATCTAAAATTAATTTAATGCGAGGCACGTGTCATTGGAGCGCATAGAGAAAATGATAATGACTGTGTTCGAGCTCCATAATTGCAATAATATAATAAATTGTTGTAATATTATTTTAGATAACAGGAAATTATTGCAATTAAATGTACTAAATGTTGTAATCAACTTTAAAGCAATATTTTGCCTAAATGCTTTGTATAAAATTTAATGAAAACTATCTTGGATAGTTGTTTACGAATTATCCGTAATCCATTGAAGGTAAAATGTACCCGTATAATTCCCAGAATTATCCGCCTAATCAATTTCTAATCACGTTTCAATTACAATCGACCTTCAATGGTCGATAACAATATCGACCAGGACATCATCATTTAGGGTCGACCTTTCACATTGAAAAGCGAAATATAATAAAAGTATACTTGGATATGTATCTTTAAACAAATTGGTTTACTTAACAAGCATTCCCAGTGAGCGCCATTTGGCTGACCCGGCCAACCCTTTCCCCTGCAAAAAAATTGACCACCGAATTCCAACCACACCACAGTGCCACCACAGAGCCAAACCAATCCAACCTCCCACTGACCCACCAACAGAACCGAGCACATTAACCGCTAAAATCCTCTTTCGACCACAAAAGTCACACACAAATGACCAACAAACAAAAGAGAGAGAAAGATATACAGTGAGGAAGAAAATCCAGCGGAGAAAATGGAAAAAATGGTTACCGAAACTGTTGGCAATTTATATGACTGGAATTGGGAGTGGAACTCTGAATCGGATTCGCACCCAGAGTCAAAGTCAGGCAATCGAATGGCACGCAATCGAACGGAATCGAGGCACAATCGTGGGGTGGCAAGAGCAATTACAACAATCATAACGTGCCCCCAAACAAGGAGAAATAAAATGGCCCAGGCGATTTTTTATGTGAAATACAGCAAACAATGCCGAAATCAATATACAGTTGCAGAAGCAGATGCAAATGCTGGTAAAGATACTGACTAGGCAGTGCGTTTCATATGTTTAAGACTACAAGAACTTAGAAAATCTATTAATGCCTAAATCGAAAGTAAATTCATCTCCTGCGATTCTCATTTAAATATAAACCGAAAACGCATACAGCCATAATTGTTTCGTGTAATCAACTTTATGGCTATGAAACACACTGTTTTGGTACATATACAATATTTTAACAATTGAAGCTCTCAAAACAGACTACAAAGAAGAAAAGGCTACAGAATAATAATGAAAAAAACAAAAACAAAAAAAGAAAAGTGCAAACAAAAAACCAAAAAGGACAAAAATCAGCACAGTAGCAAACAAGAGCAACAAAAAAGCTTAGGATCAAAAAGGAGAGATGATAAAAAAAAATTGGAGAAGCAAAAGAGAGTCACATGAATGGCACTTAACTTTGCCCAGAAGGGGCTAGAAGCAGGGAGGAGGGCAGGAACGTGGAACATAAAGATAAAGGGAAAGAAAGAGAGAGAGAGAGAGTGAGACAACTGAAGTGGGCCCCGAGGCCAGCAGACGTGTCCAGGCTGAGGCGAAAGCGAGAGAGAGAGCTGGCGAGATGGTCATACAAAAAACGTTACAGTTACAATTTTAATGCGCACTGCATGTGTGCCCGTGGCCCTCAGCCTCCACCCCAGCGTTCCACTCACCCATTCCCCTCCACCACATCCCTTGTCTAAAAGTAAGTTTCTGTTGTTTGATGCCAATTTTTTGCATTTGCTTTTTCTTAACCCCTTACCCTTCCATTCGTTTCGTTTTGATACCCTTTCAGAATGTATATTTTGACTTGTGTAGATGATTGCACTGCAGGTACAGAAAGCGTATATAGAGTATATAGAGTCTACAGACTCCGTATGAATGCACGTTCTTACTTATGATCTTATTCGTACTCATGTAGATCAGATTAAAATCATACATCTATATGGAAATATGGAGCAAGGGCAGCTAAAGCTTCGGCTCTAGTCTTTCTCTTTATGTACGTTTTAGTTCTTTTTTTCGGGTGCTCTCTCCGGTTAGTTGTGTCTCTCTCTGTCTCTCCCCCTCCCTGTCTGTTCCTGTCACCCTCTGTCCTGTTGGCTGCATTTGTCGGTTGTTGAACTCGCTCTCTCGCCAGAAGCTTTTGGAGTCCATAAGTGGCCCTGGCCAACAACACTAACAACAACAACAAAAGGCAATACAAATCAAATGAAAGCTGTTCTGTGCTGCTGTCGCTGCTGCTACTGCAATTTTTTTCATTAGAGCAAAAGAAAAATGCGACGAAATAAATAAAAATGCATACAAAAGACACACAGAGCAGGGAATCATGGATGGTACACTCAAAAAAAGCTAAAAACAGATATTTTCGATATATCGAGTTCTAATTTCATCTTTGAATAGGCATATTCAAAATCAAAAGAAACATGATAAACGAATATTTGTTTCTCTCTGTGTAAGTGACAACCGTAATTGTAATTTAAATTTTTTTCTTCTGTTTCAATGCTGTCAACCGATATTGTTCGATAGATATATGGATATATTTTGAATCTTTTATAGCCTCTGACGACGGGGCACGCCTCTTGCTGGATATAAGCCGCCTCCCATCTACGCCCTCAACCGCAAGGCAATGACGGCAACAACTCATTAAAAAGCAATTAAAAGAGTTTTTGTCGTTGTTTTATATTATTGCCGCTGCTACTGCTGTTGATGTGGCTGGTGCTGGTGCTGTTCTGTTAGTGGCATCTACGTGAGACAGGGGACGTCTGAGGAGACACTCAATAGCCGCTGGCTATTCGCAAGGTCAACACGCACAGCAGTAAATATGTAAGTATATACATACATGTGTACATATGTATACATAAAATACATATACCCGTATACCCGATGTATTGTCTGGCGTGTGTCTGGCCCTGGCGTAGGCACAGGAGGAGGCGGTGCAGAGACAGAAGAGACAGAGGCCTGTGGCAAACAAAAACATATTACGCATACGCTACGAAGGAAGCGCCAAGCAAACAAACTAGAAGGCGAACCAAGAACAAGCCACAGA